GTTGGCCCTGAAGAACAACATGTGAGTGTTTTCTCATCTGAAATCCCTATGACAGGATGAAATTATTTGTCAGTGAAAGTGTAAGGTGTGGGTAAAAATAACAACTTGGTCACAATTAGTTAAACATTTTGATTAGATGTAAAGTGACTCCTACCTTTGTCTTCATGGTTAAAACACTAACTACTTGGTAAAGATTAGGGACCAGCTGGTTGGTCATGGTTAAATGAAATCAAAATGAACTGTCAGCAGAAAGCAAGAAACAAACTGTTGTCTCCTGTGTCTTGTTCATCTATCGATCTACCCTGACGTCCTCCCTCTGAGGGACTGTGTATCATCATACCCTAATTGGCAGGTTCAGACATAATGTATTATAGGATAATATGTATATTTACAGTTTGTCTAGCAGGTGTTGATGAACTGATTTGTCTGTCGTGACAAGAGAAGTTAATTAAAGTTTCATTCAAATTCAGATTCTCAGATTCCTTTGTATGTTACAGTTTCATGCTGCCTAATAAAACACACCAAAATGATAATAAGTATCAATGAGAGTATTGTTTAGGTTTTTTCTCTGATAAAAAACAGCAATACCATTTTACAACTTATTTGGTTCACGCAACAGCAGCTGAATGAAACCAGAAATGGTCAGAAACAGGTATGAACAGAGTTGTAACTTGAACTTTCATTATACTAAGAGTAGCAGGAAACATGACAGTGTCCTATTATCCTGCTCCTGTACAGTCAGTCTCAAGATGTCTTCCCTTTTGAAACATTTTTGAATTAGACATTATCTACTTGGCAGCTGCTCTCACCCCCTTATTTAAATACAAAACCTTATTCTGGCCACTGGGGCAAAGAAAGTCTGTTCTGGTGCACAGAGACCAGAGCTGCCACAACAAGCTCTGCAGGAAGTAGTCGAGTGATTATCAGTGGCTCTGTGTTTGCTGCTGTGTAATAATTTGGATGTTTGTACTGAGCCTTTAGTAATCCCCATCATAATAAATATAGTAGTGCATTTCTCTTGTGGAAGCAAAGGGTGTTTCAAAGGACGTTTCATTTGAATTCAACTTTATTTGATTCGATTCAATTCAATTTTATTTGTATAGCACCAATTTACAACAACAATCCTCTCAGTTTAATCTTTATAAGGACCAATGAGCTTATCAGAAGACATGTTTGATGCCAATGTGTCTTCAAGCACTATCCAGTATCTGTTTCTACCACTGTACCTCAACTACAGTACTATTACATCTCAAATGAATTCAGAAAACAGAGGGATCTGAAGAAAAACAGCTATAAGTCTCCTTCACCATGTTCTTTGTGATATCCCTTTTAACTCAGCATGGCTCTAGGGGTGGTGGCTGGTTCGTGACTCCACTACTTTGGTCTAGACTGAAGAAGTCTACCTCAACAACTACTGGATGGATTGCCATGAATTTTTTTTAATGTTTTTTTGCCGTTTATAGGTTTTCTAGAGGAGGAATCCTCTTTTTTTAGCATTTGTGTCCTCTTCTGGATGAAATGAAATCCCTTTGATGACATTTCATCTGGTCAAAATGTTTGTCTGAACTTTTTTGCTAATTGGAAAATGGTAGCAAGCTAACATGCTAAATGAAACATGTAAACAGGCCTGTTATAGGCTAAACATCAGCATGTTAATGCTGACATTAGCATTTAGTTCAAAGGTAGGTAGGTAGGTAGGTAGAACTTTATTGATCCCACAGTGGGGAAGTTCCAGTGTTCCAAGAGCAGTAAAGGACAAAACAACATTACACCATAAGAATAAACACCCCACACATACCTTGAGAAAACAAGATCCAGGTACCCGAAAAACCAAACAAAAATATAATATTTCAGAGACAATCAAGAACAAGAATAGACCTCCCACACTTTGTTCCTGAGACACAAGTCAAAAAAGATACCTAGGAACAAGAAAAAAAAACAGTATTGAGAGGAATCAAGAAAACAACCAGGAAATCAAGCACTGTTTTGCCAAAGTACAACCTGCGAGCTGCAGTAGACTCATGATTCAACCTGACCACAGCCTCCCCATAACCATAACTGAGTAGGTTTAGCCATGCTAGGGTATTGTGGGAGTAATTATTCATCTAAGTTTTTGCAGAACTATCCATCATCATCACCCAGTATGTCTACTGTCAGCATTTTGGCCAGTGGGATGCTTGCTACTCCCTTGCATTTTAATGAGAACTGTATCAATATTTACGACTCTTGCAAAAAATTTGCAGTTCTGATTCTCTGGTGGTATCTTTTTTCCCACTGCATTTTAAAGGAAGTGGAGCTGACAGATGTTTCCCCAACTGGGCCCAAATTATTGCTGCTGTTACATTTTTACAAATCTTCTTCACAACAGCAACAGTTGCAAGATGCACAGTAAAAAATAATTGAGTGGTGGCTGTAGGGATAGGAGTATATGAAAGCAGGAATTAGACACAATGAAAAGCAGATGTGCACTGTAGTTCTGAAATACTGTGTTTATTCTATAAAAGACTGATATTAATTTGTGCACATCTGAACCAAAGCTGTATCATTTTTATTCACTTACTCATCACTGCAGTGCATCCAAAAACATCTTTTTTTAGTCTCATTCTCATTCATAATTGCTTATTCACTTACTCATCACTGCAGTGCACCCATTTTTTGAGTCTCATTCTCATTCATAATTGTGATACTTGTTTGCCACATCAGCAAGATGAATGTGATATACAAGAAGCTCAGGTCTTGGCTGTTTGCTTTGAACAATGATATTGTGTGACCTGACCTTCAGTCAGAGGCACTGTGATCTTTGGCGCAGTGCAGACTGTATGTTACAGTCAGATCAAAGTATTGTGAATGAAGCCCTATATTCTGTAATTGCCAACAGATCTGCTCTAACTTGAGACTTTTAAATAGACAATGGTGTCTATAAATAGCTTAATGGTGTCGAACCTAGTTGTGCTCCATTTTGACTTTTGTGGACCTCTTGCTGTGACTCACACACTATTCCTGAACATGCGCTGTTATTTATTTTTAGATCATTGGAGGATGACCTCTCGCATGGGATCAGATTCACAGCCAGACTGGGATAAAATGGATTACTTTGCTCACTAAACAAAGCCACACAAAAGAGCCTGTTGGGTTACATTAATTGCCAGAAACCACTGGCAAGGTGCATAATATACATTAAATGTGGTGTGGTTGTGTAAGAATATGACATATATGTGTATTGTTTAACTAGACTAAGCTAGGTGAGCCTTACTCTGAGTTTTCTCTCAGATCTGTGAAATATAATGTAGAACATCAGATTCATAAATATTTTTAATTTGCTATTTTTTATAGTTTGTGTTATAAAGTTGAAATTTTTTTGGAACTAGCCACTTCCTGGAGTCATTTTACATAGTTTCTGCTTCATATTATTTGGCATTATTGTAATGTAAATAGTAGATGTTCAAATAGTATTTTATATGGAAGACAAACATATATACTGTATATGCACAATAAACGTTTTGCCAGTGCCCTGCACTTCACCACACATGTTGAAAAAGCATGTGACAACATTTCAATCTTGAATCATATTTTAACGTTGAATTTTACATTACAAAACAATAAAATCTGAAATACTGCACAATGTCAACAGCTGTGTTGGTCACTAGCAGAGGTTTTTTGTCACTCTCCACTGAAATATGAAAGCAGAGACTTGTCATCACTACTGCCATGTAACATCACACTGAACACTTAATGAACAAGTAAAATCTCAGTTTCTAAACGCTTTGCTGAACCTCTCTGACATCTTGCCCCGAGACAAAATGTGGTCAAACTATGTTTTTACGAGGACATAAAATATGTAAGCATGACCCAAAACAACAACTGCAACACACCCCATAAATAAAAGGAGGTTCTTTTCTAACAGGGCCTAATTTGTCTGCCAGACAGCTTTTACAAAAACACTGTTTCACAAGAACAGGAGAAGCTGTGGAAAAACTTTTAGCTGTCATCCTGTGAGACAGTGAAGAAAATGGATCAGTGATTCTGCACTGATCCAATTTAATGTGTTTAGTGTTTATCATTCACTGATCTGTATCTGTGCAGAACAACTTTATATACAAGCCATGTGAATTATTGTATGTGGGTTAAGGCAAGGTAGCACTTTGACTCTCTTTTTGTTCGGCGATGTATTGATATACAGTAATACTGATGTTATAGAGGGGTACATGTTGTCTTAGATTTTTGTTATTCTAATATAGCTTTAATATGTCCTTTTCTGGCCCTTGGTCTTAAATGCTAAACTAGAGTTCAAGGAGGGGTTAAGCTTTTCATTTTAACATAGTATATACTGCATTCTATATAGTTTACATGCTAAAATTACCACTGGAAATGTAATTATTCTAACAACGTGCCCTTAATTTCAGAGGTGGACAAAAGAATACTATGACTGTTTTCTTAATGTTGCCTTCTATTTCATTATTGTTTGAATGTTAGCTCCATGAGTTGGTTTTGTTTACAGCTGACTCTGTAAAGTGAATACCCTCTGTAAGGGTCTTAAATAAACACTTGATCGCTATGTACATGACATCATGTGCCAAGACAGAGACTAAAGCTACATGTCCTGCGCAAAAAGCCAGCATCCTCATCAGTGGATAATCCATGTAAAAAACAAGGCACTGCACTGTTTTTCTATTGTTAGTCCTTTAATGTTAAGAGCTTTTGCAGCCTGTAACTATACAAAAAAGACAACCACTCTGCAAAGTAACGCCCTTAACAATTACATGATTAACACATGAATGCATTTTTCAGAGTCAAATAAAGCATCATATTGCATAAATATCTGCCTTGGATGTAATCTGCTGTCTTTTAAGGTAAACCCTGATCTATGGTGAGTTCTTGTTACTGCTCTGTCTCAAAGTCTGCCTTAAAATGTCATGAGGTCCACTTTGCTCACATTGCTGCTTACATTTTTCCTGTGAGCAGCAAATGACACATCACTCCTGGATGCAAAACATCTGGACAAGAAAAGACTTGGAGGAGTTTAAACTGAGGCAGATGTGAGGGAGCACAGCAGACAGACTGATCTCTTCACCATGAATCCTGCTCTGGTGGCGCTGGTGTTGGCTTTGCTGAGCACAGTGGCAGCTCAGTCTCACGACCATCATGACATGGGCTGGGTCAACGGCTACCGCCAGGGCTTCAGCTTCCAGTGTGCCCATGGAGAGGTCCTTGTGGCCATCAGGAGCTACTTCAGTGAGCAGGAAGGCTCGGATCGCTTGTGGTCATTTGAGTGCCAGCCCACACCTGAGGGTCTGGGGGAGCCCAGCGACTGCTGGTGGGATGACCTCAACCGTGCTGGGTTGGAGTGGTGGGTCCTTTGTCTTATCTCAGTGTTTTACTCACTTGTTGACCGCCTGCCATCTACTTGGACATTTACAGCTGTGAGCTGAGGCTTGCTGGAAGACGTCACATCTGTTCAGGGTTTAGAATGAAACCAGGAAGTGCATAGTTTGCTTTTACACCCTGTAAACTGTATTGATTATATTATTGATTGATTGTATTGATTGATTACTGTACACTGATTGTCTTTGCCAACAGTGATTCAATGCAAAGATATGAATTAATAATATAATACCTAAGTAATTCAAATCAGTCCTTGGGAACATCTGAGTCAGGTTACATGTCGACAATAAATGCCACAGTATAAAATATCATTTAACATTTTTCTGTGCATTAATAAATCTGCTGCTACACAGGTAACATGATGCTTTTACTGCATGTTTGTGTAGACATGGTGTAAAAGTGTTTACTAAGTCAGAATGTATGTTTAATTTAAAGTTGGTTGCCTCACACAAGGTAATCTTATGTATCTTACCACCTAGAGTCACAATAAGGTTGAAAATTGTTAGCTAGGTTGGCATGATTGGATATTCAGAAGTCCACGAGTGGTAGGCTACTAAGACAAAAACACATATTTGTGTGTGTAAACAACAATTTTAAGTTTAGATTAGTGCCAGCAAAACTAGTAAATCACTAGTGTGAAACTAGCTAGTTGCTAAATTTAGGTTGCACACCACACACAAACTTGGTAATGGAGTTATGAACAGCTTGTACAACCCTATCCTTATAGTCTGCACAACTTTTCAGTGTCTCTTTGCTAAAACACAATCTGAAAAGGCTTTTCACATGTGTATTTTCTGTTACTGTCATAAAAATCTGAATTCCTTCTACTGTTTTCTCATTCAGAGTAACAAAGCCAGGTCCCCCTGGGACTGCATGAATCACCATCTCACTCCAGAACAGCCACATGTCTTCAACTGACAGTTCCTGGGAACATGACTACCTCAATTGAATTGAGGATTTATCCAACTGTTTGTGTCAGTGGCCCTTCAGTGTTATTCCATTGCCTTGTATTGGCCACATGCTGCACCATTTTCCTGCAACATGCTATTTCCAAAACCTGAAAAAAACAAACTATAGCAAAAGTCCTCAAAAGGTTCAGCAAGTAAATGAGAATTTGTATTACTCACTGAATTGCACGAAGGAAGAAAACCTACCATCTATTTCTTTCATATGACTGGTTTCCTTTAAGTGCAATCAGGTAATGTGACCCCACTCCAAATACCACAGCCTCATCTAAACATGTTCCACTAACCATCAACAGCAGTGAAAGGCTGGTCTAATTAAAGGACTTAAAGGATCAACCTTTAGAAAACCTGTTTGGGGGGAAAATTTTAGCCTGAAACAACACTGTGAATTATAATCTTAACACTTAGCTGAATCGGCTATATCTGCTTCACATTACATTTTCTAAGCTCAAGCAGAACATACTTGTGTTCTTAAGATTTATACCGATTTGGGCTTGACTGCACCCAACCCACTGATTCAATGACAATGTGAACACTCTCCCTCACTGTCATGCTGGTTGAATTACACTGGCTAGGACATTACCCTGCAGGGTTACTGACCCATTTGGCTGAATGGCTGAAGGCTGTGTCCATGTTGCCATGCCAAATGTCGAGACATGCTGTAGCTCCTTGGACCTAGCTGGTATTGCTGAATCTGTTGTGGTGATCGCGTTGTATGAATCATAAACAAACTGCACCAACCAAACCAGTATTTACTTCAAAAAGATAAACACATTTTCTATTGGTCTAAATATATATGTTTTTCATTTTTTAACTCTCAGGAACACACTTAAACTTTGCATCTAAATTGCATCTTTTTCATTCTCATAAATCAGGGATTTTCAGCTAATTATTACCGAGGGACCATCATTCTGATTAAGGACCACTGTTATGGGGTGGATAAACTGACTGGACATCATTTTACTCCTGAAAGTCACATTGGCTTCTCTAAATTGTACATGTTTGTATGAATTAGACTATTCACAAACATTAAATAATACATGGAAATGTGTTTAAAAATATTGATTCCTGACAGTGCTTTGATTGCATGGTCAGGGACTAACTGCAATGTCTTCACTGACCAGCAGGGGGGCCACCGATCACTGGTTGAAAACCCCTGTCAAAAATGAACATTGATCTTGTTTTTACTAAATAACTTTTGTGTCTTCACAGGACTTCAACCTGTACCCGCAATGGCCTGGTAGCGGGGGTACAAAGCAAGTACTTTGAACCGGTTCTTGACCGGGAATGGCGGTTCTACTGCTGCTATTACAAACGCCGTTGTCCGTACTCCTGCATGTATGTTTTCACAGGCATATTAAAAAAAAAAGTGTAGTCTGTCGTACTGGGATGCACATTTATTCAGTCTCTTATTGAGAATTAGATGAAATGATTGATATTCTCATATCAGTTCTTTAAATATGATGCAGGAGCCAGGAGATGCTTAGCTTAGCTTAGTGTTTAGATGGGAAAAACAGGGAAACAGCTAGCATGACTCCACTTTCAGTTATGATAATGATAATAATGATAATAAGTTATCAAAATCTGCCTTGCTAAATAAGATATTTGTTTAGTCAGTGCACAAACAGAAGTAACAAACATAACAACCTCCTGATTTTACAGAGGTTATGTACTTGGCAATACATTCTTTTTCTCAAGCTGTTCTTACTCTCCACAGGAAGACCAATGACATTCCTGAATACTACAGAGAAGAGGGAGAGCTGGTGATCCCTAGTTATGGTTACTTCATCCGAGGTGCCCAGACCACCTTCAGTGGAGTGCTAAGGTTCGTTCAAAACAGCTGGGCAATGTGAATCTACCCAAAAATGGCTGAAATTCTCCTATGGCTGAGTTGGAATAAGATATTTTTTTTGTGAGGCTTATGATACCAAAACAACAAAGAACCCATAAAATTTGGTCATTTATCATTGCTGAACTGACAGGCTTTTGTCTTTCACTTTGTTTCAGAGATCGGCAATGGAAATACATCCTGTGCAGAATGACAGACTATGACTGCGAATTTGAGAATGTATAGACTTGTTAACAGCATTCAGTCTTTAACATAAGGGATTTCTAACTAAAAATCCATATTCACTTTTACATTTAAACCAAAACATAATACTAACATTAGAAATAACTCATATACTTTGTGTTTTCACTCATGTATTTCCTATTAAGTAATGGATCACCTACAGTCATGTAATATATGCCCATATAATCACTGTTTTAGTATAGCATGCAAAGTTAAGGTAACTGTTAAAATAAACATTGACACTGAGGATCTACAGTAGATTTGGGCTCCACTGGACTCTTTGGATATCTTGTGTTTTCATTTATTTGCAGGAGGAACTGGATGGCCTTTGGCATCATGTGAAAGTGGTTTAACAAAACAAACTAAACTATTTGAAACTGTTGTTCATGGTGGTGGAAAACAATGCGTCAGGCTCTGCCCCAAGAGCTCTTAGTTGATGTCACATGACTGATGGTGAAGGCTCACATCAATTTCATGCTTTCAAAAAGAGTATTCTGAGAGCTGCAGGGTGTGGCTGGTACCGGAATATTGTCTTGAAAGTAACACTTGGAACAATTGTGTTTGTGTTGTAATGGTTGTAATGAGAGGCTCATTTAGAATTACAGGCAACTTGAGCTTTGCATGCAATGAAATATGGATGCTTTCAACTGACTCCACATTGCTCCTTTATTGCTCCTTTATTAAAGTGTCTGGTTCTGTTAAGCAATTATAGCCCTGTACTGTACTGAAACTCATGCAACCTTGCTGTGTTACAGTGTGATTAAAACCATCCCTTTACTTAGATGACTGTGTAAGTGTGTTTTTAACACACTGTAAAGGTACAATATGTTCATTAATTCAAAATTATTTAAGGATTTTGACAAGAAGCCAAAAAGTCATCTTGTCAGAGTAGTTTTAAATATACGAGTATTGATAGCATTTAAGCGGCTGAATACAACACACTAGACTGTTGAGGAAAAAGGTTGTGAGAGCAAGGATAAGATGATGTTTTCCAAAAGCACAGAGAAGATGAACTTAACCATGACAATATGAGCAGCTATTTTGGGCTTAACTTTGCTGAAGGTAAACACTGCGTTATATTGCCATAACAAAAATCTTGAAGACAGAATGTGTTTGTGTGCTCACAGGCTGCTGGAAGGGCCTGACATCAGTGATTACTCTATCAACAGCTAATCGGTTTAGTGATGTGTAATATTTTGCTTTGTATGAAAATTGGAGGAACTGTATAACCAAATCTATGTAATGTAGTTTAAAGTAATTATCAAAACAATTTAAAGGAATAATTGGAACTACACTCATCTGTCTTCTTAATATAATGCTAAAGCTGCAGCCGCTAAGCTTAGCTTAGCATAAAGACTGGCTGGAAATAACAGGATAATCACCTTTATTGGCCAAGTATGTTACACACGGGGAATTTGTTTCTGGTACAGAACCGATGGCAGCCATCTGCGGCACCACCTCAAAAATTCAACTACCATGCCCTCTAAACCTACTAATTGCACGTTGTATGTTGTTTGTTTAGTTACACATAAACTCAACTGTACAAACAACAGGTTGGGGCTATCTTTTACCAAAGGAGAGTATAGTAGCTGTTTCCCACTGGTTTTAACCTTTATGCTAAGCTAAGCTATCCATCCAGTTTTCAAGTTTCTCATTTAACTCTTGCCAAACAAACAAATGTATTTTTCCCTCAAAGTGTCACAACATTTTTCTAAGGAGCTTATAGTTATTAGGATTAATCAAGCTAACAGCGAATGGGTGAAAAAAACATGTTTATGCATGAAAATGTCTTTTTAACTTTGGAGACAGTAGTAGGAAAAAACTCTCTCACCTCAAGGTCCACTTACTAGTTTTATCCAGTGCTTACAACCATATAACCAGCACTTTTAATTTTCATGCCTCATCCATAAGGTAACTCGGTTGAAAGCTCCTAAAAATGCTATGCTTGAAATCATAACAGATTCTGCATGTTAGCTTGACATGTGAATAGATTCATGGCATGATTCTACAGTATGACAACTGAGCAAACTTAATTTGCTGATAAAGTCCATGTGTTTAAAGACCCAGAAAACATTAGTATGGGATGGTTTTGTTAAACATGTTGACATTGTTTATACTGTTTTCTTACCATTGACTGACATAAAACTTTAATCTTGTGTAACAAACGTACTGTTCTCCAACTTTCCGACTTCATCAGCTAATGTAATGAATGGCTGAATGGTGTGCCTGTGAACCTTCCAAGTACAAAATGTGCTAGTTTGTTTTCATTTTCATTCCAGTTGTTTTGGACAGGACATACTGCTCAACTGTCCAAAACGAGGTAAAATCTTTTCAAACTTAATGGAGTAAGCTGGTGGACGGTCAGCATGCTCACTCTACTGCTGTGAAAAGAACTGGGGACTGGGCCAGTAGCTTTCAGCACTGTTTGTTTAAGACAACTGTTGTCTCAGGGCTCAGAGCCAAACAGCACAGTGTCACACAGCTGAACCAGTGGCTGGGGGCGAGCCACACGCCTGTAGAGGCCTCCTGCCCCCAGAGGCCCACTGTCCCAATAGTGGAAGCCTCCCTCCTGGGCTGGAAGGGAGGGTGGATATACTGTATTATCCTGCTCTGTCCTCTCTGCTCTCATAAATATATATTACTGAAGCAAAATAAGCCAATAGAGAATACAGTGTAACTGCATACAACAGACAGTAGGGGTTCAATGACACCAGATTTATTTTATGTTTAAAGTGCACGTCAAACTTGTCAGTTATTATTGGAAAATATTTTCAATCCTAATAATGTTACACTTAGTGTATGTTGTTTGACAGAAGACTACAGAACACCTGCTACAACTTTTGAGACAAAAAGGCACTTGCACCCTACTAGAAAATGATCAACTACAAGAACACTTAACTATAATTCTTCTTTAATCAAACACCAATCATCTCTGGATAAAAAAGACCACATGAGATGATTTATACTTACAGCCAATCCCTTATTGGGCCCTTCTCTATGCTCAGTACTTAAAGCCAGCTGGTGCAGTGAACGCTTGACTTCATTGACTGTGATCCAGTGAGGCTCGAGTGCAACCAGAGCTGCAAATCAGATATCTGCTTCTCAAAGAGCTTACTGCACACATGCTGAAAACCTTTCCTAAAAATGTTTTTAATGCTGCCAAACAAGTAGGTTGGCTTCTACCAATAACGAAACAATCCATTACATTAATGAATATAAACACATTTTTCTAAAAGGTTTGTGTTAATGTACCAAAACAAGCCAAAGTAGATTAAGAAACATGTTTGATATTCTGAATGCATGTATATAGCTGCACAGTTTACACATTACTGTAATTAGGAGCTGAAAACAGAGCCATTGTCAGTGTTACTAGCTGCACCTCTGCTTTTCCTGCTATCACAGTATTAAATAACTATTTACCCTCCTCTGTCGAATGCAATAGCAGCGTGGGATGGTTGTCACACCAACATTTTTGAACCAGACCTACAGTAAATATTGGCTGGATTTCCATGAAGTAAAACTGAAACTTCTGGAGTCTGTGAATCAAAACCCCACTGATTCAAATCCAGTCTTGGAATGGAGTACTTAAAGATTTCCAATAAGTCCATTGGTGAGTTAAGAGGTCATATTAGTTCAGACATCTGTTATAACAACAGGAGAGATTTCAAAAAATGACTGGAAGAGAACATTAGTGAGTGTCATACAATATGTATGGACAGAGCCACGCTATGATGATTAAATACCTGCGCTGCTGCATTTTCAGTTGAATACGAAAAGTAAAGTGGAGGAAGACACTTCATTTTTTTCAGAAAGACTGATAAAAGAACTATGGAATTAGAAACTGCATTGAGTTACAGAAGCTAGTGGGACAGTGCATAGGCTAGCCTGGATATGGCATCAGGCCTTCGACTCCATTTGGTTTATAGCCAAACCTTCAACACTAATGACCCCTCCATCAGTCCTAGTTGTGTTTAGTGCCAAATTACCAAAACATTAGCAGGCCAACACATTAAACTAAGACGAAGGACATCATAAACATTAGACCTGCTAAACATGCTAGCCTTGTTGTTGTGAACATGAGCAGCTAATGACTGTAGCCTCTTTGTTTAACACTTACTACACAGCTCTAAATCTTGTGTTTGGGTTTAGTATTATAGGCTATTATAGGCTGGAGGACATTCATAAATAAGTACTCCACACAGTCTAGAAAACCAGCATTATACCTTATGCATTCAATATACATTACATAGGTTCTCTAATTAGTCTTGACAGTTAGGCTAGCAAGACAAAATCCACCGGCCAACAAGCGCTCGCATTCGAGCCCCGAACCTGGGCCTGGCTCCAGGGTGGGGCCCCGGCTGCGCCATACCGGGCGACGTCACAGTACTTGATCTCACTCTATTCATAAGGGGGTTTTGAACTGAGGCTGAGGGCTCGGAGGTGGATTCGTCCATCACCCAAGCTGAAGTCACCGAGGTAGTTAAGAAGCTCCTCGGTGGCAAGGCACCAGGGGTGGATGAGATCCGCCCTGAGTACCTTAAGTCTCTGGATGTTGTTGGGCTGTCTTGG